ATTTCTTCTCCGAACAACCTAATATTACGAGCGATGCTGTCGCCAGTGTAGAACTGCCGATTCAAATCGCTAACGATCGGATTCTATCAATAGCTATCTACTTCTTTGGCGGGCATCCTTCCAAAGTCGCCAGCTCTCCCATGTTACCAAGACGCCAGATCGATACCTATACTTTCCTTTTGTGCACGTTCTCTAAAAGGTCTGAGCCGATTTCCCTATGCTTCTATCGCGAAGTATGAACGCGGTCTTACGGCCAATACGCAGGCAAGGACTAACAACGACTGGCAAGTCAATCAAAATGCCTCATATCTGAGTGACTGGCCTCGATCTAGTCCTTTTGTGTATTCAGAAAGCTTTCATCGAGATAAGATATTTGAATGGCACGTAAGAGCGGAGCAGAGACCCTACAAGATAGATACAAATTCCCTGCCATGAGCCTTAATACTTACTAAGAAAGAAATTTCAATCACTTTTTGAGCGCCCAAAATTACTGAAAAATAGATGGTCGTTTGAGATTAAAAGGCATAATAATGCATTTTCTAAAGAATTCTAAAGAAAAGTAGGTAAATAAAAGACCCTTACAAAAGAAGCAACTATAACTGCAACTAAGATGAAAAACAAGCAACGAAACTTATGTGCGCACCTGCTGTTCATAAGCCCTTCCTACTTTTGGATCGAAATCGGCACCTTCAAAGTCTCCTGTGCCAGACAAACGACCTAGAAGATTGCAAATCATTGTTACTAGTAGTAAGTGTACTGGTTAATTATTTAAAAGCATCAGTTAGGTACAAAAATGCAAACCTACCGATGTGCGTGCCGACATAAGAAAACATTCCTGCTGCTCGACGGAGGCAAGTTAAACATTCTTTGGCTTCGTACTCTTTCACCTGAAGATCCATTCTGTGCGAAGAAAAATACGAAGTACTTAGAAAAAATTAAGACCTTACGTCATCTTTGCCGGCAACCCATGCCGCGTGTTTAGAGAGCCACATAGCCATGCATGCTATCAAGTTTAAAGCTTCAAACCATGAATCTGACATCTCACTGAAAGTACTCGTTCAAACCGGTCCACACAACTAAGTTCCAAAGAAAAGGCGGCGAAACTCGGCGACAGGGGGCATTTTGCACTTTCGTTGCTTCACTAGTTCCGGTTTACAAGTCTCACTCTGGTGAAACCTGTGAACTCTTGTGAAGCTGGAGCAAGCTCGTCAAGCCATCATGGTAAAACCTGTCAACTCGAGAAGAGCTGTCTAGATGGGTCGACACGTCGATGGGAAGTAGCAAAAGTGCAAAATGCCCCTCCCCCCCCCGTCGCCGAACTGCCCCGAAAAGACCACCACAACATGGGCAGCCTGTTTCAAAAAAATCACGTGTTAGTAATGCTCACGTGGCAAGAGTTCCCAGCATAGAGTGTCCCCACTGGTATCGCTGCACCGGTGCAAGTTTACTGACGCCTTTCGACGGATCGTCTCCTATAAAATACAGCGTTTCAAAGGGGCAATCGACCCATTCTACTGAATTTTATGGGCAACTCCACCTTGAAATTTTGCCATTGAAAAAATCATGTGCCCCTCAAGAAGACACTATAATCACCAAACATTCTCGTCCCGAAAACTTTTAATAGCTTTACTGAAGTACTTACGGGCGTCGCTAATCCAGATTTTGTTGCGATAACGACTGTTTATCCGGAAGAGTAAGCATAAAATCGAGAAAATTATTTCTTAATCATTAATTATTCTTGACACAGAAAAAAGTCAGAACTAGCGTCCGAAGAAGGGAATTAGAAGATTCAAAATAGCATTATTAACGAAATCCTCGTAGTACGCGTAGAGAAAACTCCTTGAAAAGAGCAAGTTATTGTCCAAACAGCTGTTGCATCTGAACTACGGGAAAAGACTACTGTCCGAATCTGTTTCCGCAACCGTATAGACTCAGATCAGACTATAAAGTAGGATATGCCGAGGTAGTACGAATGTCGTTTGAACGGTAACGGTCAACAAGCCTTGCGGTGACTCTAAGTCAGCGATGATAATCCCTATTCCTTCCTAGAGGACAAACGTAAGTTACTTACAAGTGAACTCAAACCTTACCAGACAAAAATTACACTGCAAAACGCTTTTAAGATTTCGAAGAAAGGGAAAGTCAGAAAACTCCATGGCTCTGTGGTTGTCTCACCGTGATAACTGCTGTTTAAACTCGCAGCTAGCGCTACGGAAATTATGGCAAGAGTGCTGAGTTGTGGGCAAAATTTCTGACCCCAGGCGGCTGAACACGCATCCCAACACTGATCGAACGATTCTCGTGCCGCTATCACTACGCACCAGACGGCGCTCTTAGGGTGCTCCATATTCTATGCGCTGAGTATTTTTGAGACGTCCTTCGAACGGCCGTAAGCAAGGTATTCAACTTGAGCGCTACGTCAGCGCTGATTGAGCGACTGCCCGCACAACAAGCTCAAACTGGGCCGCAACACATTCTCAACGCCACTCTTGCCCTGAAAATATGAGGAAAGGTTCAAAGTCGGTGCTGGGCGTCAAGAATTTTGCCCCATCATCAGCATTTTTCGTGATGACCTACGTGCGCTTTCAATTTTTTCTTCCGGACGAGCAAGATTAGCAAACAACCTATTCAGACAGGAATTTTCTCTCGCTGCAAAGTGGTCCCAGAGCCATGTTCCTCTGTTGCTTTGCTGAATTTTTGGAGGGAGGAAAAGGAAGGAAGAAACGGAGGAATGAAAAAAATTATTAAGGAGGACGATGGCTTCGCGTTTGACAGGGTCTTGAGAATGGAGACCCCGGCCGTTCAGCAACGGAAATTCTCAGAGCGTATGCAAAAATGGGAAGAGGTGTAAATTAAGTAAAAAAACAAACAAATAAATAGGTTTAGTACTGACACCTTTCAAGCCAGGAGTGAAGAATCGAAAAGTGAAAATAAAGTGATGGAAGGGCTTGCACTTCTGAAATCGGTAACTCACCAGCGCCTGCCGTAGTTTTATCAATTTGCACGAGAAATCCAGCGAAAAGTCGTAGATAGTCATTGAAATCCTTGTCGACTTCGGCAAGATCGTTTCCGGCATTCTTGAAATATTCCACAGCTTCTCTCTACGCAGCCGCAATTCACTGAAAAGAAATGACATGACTATTCGCGACATGTCAGCTTTGTGTATTCAAGAAGGCTACAAGAATGCATTTAGCTGGGCCGCACTTTGAGGTATCCTGCCGCGTTTGGCTTACTGACCGTTTCTTCACGTCCAATGCTGATACCATAGAATAGTAAAAAAGCGAAAAACACAGCGTAGAAACTGAACTCGTGACAGAAAACAGCCTTTGACTTCTGGGAGGCGGGACAACTAGGGAGGCGTCGTAACTGCCAGCGTGACGGTCAAAGCAGCTCAGTTATTTACTGTGAAGCCGCAAAAGTAGGATAATCTCACAGAATGAGGACCTGACCACTTGTGGAAAGAAAGAGGCCTACAAATTGCTCGAGCTCAGTATTGCCTTCAACAGGAAACGCCTTGGTTATAAACGTTCTCCTTGTAGCTGTGGCATTAAAACGAAACTGATTTCACTACTAAGTCAATGTGGCGTATCTATCGTTCTACTATTGCCAGAAAGGTATGTGCGCAGATGTGTACCGGTCAGTCGAACAGCGCCTGAGAGCGCATTTATACTTCGCGGTCCGAACGCCAACTATGCGCTCTTAAACTTTTTGCATATTATTTTCTATTTTGAGCTATAAGTCCATTAAAACTCCAATCGGTTGGAATGAACGCGGCCATACGTATTACGACAGTATCGTCAAGTACGCGATTACCAAAAGTTACTAAAGG